CTTCCATCAGAACGACTTCTCAAGCAGCGACAAAGTGCCCGGAACAGCGGGAGTGTGGCGGAGCTCCCTACATTGCAATTGGCATTGCTTTTGGCCTCTTTGTCGGGATCGTCATTGCAGTTCTGGTCTGGCTCTGGATGAAGAACAAGGCAGGAAAGGATAAGAGAAAGTGGAAGCAGGACGCCGAACGTGCAGAAGAAGATCGTCTGCTTGCGCTGTACAAGGCTGAGGAGAAGACCAAAGGCAAAAAGGTGGTCGGAACATTTGCTGCATGGAAAAAGAATGTGAGTTTAAAAATTTAAGATCATACATTTATTAATCTAATTCGATTTTTCCACCTTTTCAGAGAAAGGAGCTGAAGACTGCGGTGGAGCTGCCTTCAATCGAGAACGAGGTCGACGCAATCTGGAAGAAAGTGGAGAAGAAAAAGGCCATAGACAAGATGCAGTACCTTGTAGACCAGTTCGAGAAGCGGAAGGACAAAGAAATCTTCGAGCGGGAATACACGCCGGAACTGAAAAAGAAGGGACTTGCAGCTGTTGGGTCTTTCGAGGAGTGGAAAAAGGTGAAAAATATTTTTTAATTTCTGTTTAAAAACTCAACTTATCCCACTTTTGATTTTTCAGAACAAGAACATTGCGGCGACGTTCACCTTGAACGATGGGACAAGGACGGCGATTGAATACGAGCAGCCAAAGGTCATCGAGAAGATCGTCGAGGTTGAGAGGGTCATCATTGAGAAGCCTGACGAGTGGACAATCGAGGAGAACCCGACAATTGAGGAGCAGGAGAGATTGGCGGAGATAAAGGCGGCGAATAGAGGCGCTGTGGACGGTGTTGAGGTTCCAATGTCTGAGGAGGAGCAGGAGGTTGATGAGAGGTGGATTCCGCCGGAACCGAAGAATAACCCGAAAGAGGAGGATTGGTTGTGATAAATTTGTGTCACCATATATTGTTCTCTCATTGTATGTATTGTATATTTCTTGTTGTTTGTATTGTATTTGAATTGTTGTATTTCATTGTATTTTTTTGTGTAGATAAAATGGTTATGCGTGTTTGTTTTTTTAGATTTGAAAAATTGGGAAGTACCCATGGAAGTAATAAGTACCCATAACTTACCAAACTCAGAAATCTACCTTAGATAATATTCTGAGGAACAAGTACAATGGCAACTCGAGTAAGAGTTTAGCACGTCTTTTTGACCAGAGACCCGACCCGAGCAATTTTCCAATACCCAACCTGAACCCCGTCATAACATGAAAAGAGGAAATCTGGCTTATAAGCCTTCCAAAATTATGAAAATACAAGTTAAATCCATCGATATCCCACCATATCCACCTATATGCCAGTACTTGCTGGAATTTTTGGGGTATGATTTTCTTAAAAAGACTTTGTATGTGATGAATTCTATTAAATTTTCGAAAAATTTTGTTCGAAGTTTGGTAAAAAATTTAAGTCTTCAAATAAATTAGACATCGAAAAAAACCCCGGGGGTCATTTTGGAGCAAATACGGTATTTGCCTGTCGAGGCTTTTAACGGTTGTAAAATTGTTAACAGAATCTGAAAGCGATCCCATTGCATAATAAATTTAATTACACCACCAAAAAACCAGAAATAAAAACTCAAACTATTTTTTTACGTAAAATTAAGGATTAAAGGATACAATAAAATCTGACAAAACCTGTTGAGACAAAATATCCCAAAATTATTATTTTTTATAATTTTTATTGTTTATTAACTTAATATTATTACGCTTTTTTATTAATTAAAAAAGAAAGATTAATAATGCTGATAAGTCGGGAGCAGGTTGGGCATAAAAAGAAGAAAAAAATCGACGCAGCAAAAAATCATTGTTTTTGGGGGATAAATGAAAAGTGAAAAAATTATATTTTTATTTTTTGATTTTTAACCATTTTTCTAGTTATTCCCTTTTAGAAAATGCATTTTGGTTTTATTTTTATTTTATTTATTCATTTTGTTGGTGCTATAGAAGTCCCTCCTGGGCTAAGACCGGCCAAGGCTGTGGACGACCCGGAAAAGCCGATCGTTCCAAGATTGGAAGAACAACAAGAGGGGGTGGCAGAACAGCATGAACAAGTTGGGAAGATTTTTTAGCTTTTCTGAGTTAAATGTTCCCTACGCAGTACTTGTAGTGAAGTAAAATAGAAATTCCAGCCTATTTAGGACTGAAGAATTAAGGAAAATCTTTCGACCCCAAGATCGGGCAGGCTTCGACCGCTAGATATGCTGTTCAAAAATAGTACATTAGGATGAAGAAAGTAATAAATCCGGCCTGATTTTCTTGCATTCTTTCCGATTTTATAGTAAGATTTATGGGCGGGAGCTCACTTACAAATTAGTTAGCTCCTATGACCTTCTCATTAATCTAACAGTGGAAAGGGAACAATGCTTTTCCTGCTATCTTATTTTATCACCAAAATATTCTTTCCACACGGGAAGTTGTTAAATTAGTCAAGTTTAAAAGCTTCAAAAAATAATTTCAAGTCGAAAAAAGGTTCCCTTTATACAGTGCGTCCGTAAATTATACGACCACCTGCATTTTTTATAATATCTTATCTTTGATATGATATTTTCACTTCTTTTCTTTTTTATATTAATTAATTATGTATTCAGAACTTGTTAGCAAAATTTCATTTAAATATTATGAACCATCTCTCAGAAAATTAAATTTAATTAAAAGTAGTTGATTTCAAAGCGTCCGTAAATTATACGACCACCCTGGATAATTCTGTATTAGATAATAGGAAAAATCTACAAAAAATTTTCAGAACATATCTATCAGTATACATAAGAAATATAAAAGAAACTAAGTTGAAATATAATCCCTTCATCGAGATCTCAAAATCCGAAAATCAACGGAAAATCGAGGTGAAGGTCTTTAAAAAATATTTTCGACCCCTTATGGACTAAATTAAATTTTGATTTTATACTTTTCTGAAAGCCCTTTAAATTTGCTATAAGAAATCCTTATTGTTAATAAATCGAAAAATTTTACTTGGGAGATATTCAGGGTTAAATTCAATGGACATGAAAATCATTAAATCTTCCCCATGAAATGCCTTTTCTTAGCAACTTAGAAATTTAATGAAATACAACTTAATGAAAAAAATTTTCTGTAAAATAAAAATTGCAGGTATTATAGCAAATTTAAAGGGCTTTCAGAAAAGTATATTATATATATTACTTCTTGTAGTGTGAAGGGAACATAAATTTTCCTATTAATAAATTTTTATTTTTTCTCATAGCAATCTGCTAAAGAAACAAGAAATTCACAATTAGAAGATTCAGAGAAGGATGAAGAAAAAGTTGTTTTTGAAATAAAATATAAGTAAAAAATACGTAAATTTTAGAAAACAAAGGGCAACGACAACAAACCTTTAATATTTCAAAAGAAAGGAAAAGAAAATAAGAAAAAAGTAAATTCATCGCCGACAGTTCAAGGGACTGGTACACCTGTTGTTCAGCAAGTTATAAGGGTACCAGTTTTAATTTAGACTCTTTAATTTAAAAAAACAAAATGTTCCCTTCGGACTACCTATAATGTGAAGAGAACAAAAAGTGTTGTTTACACTCACTACCAATAAATAGTTAGGGTTGGTAGTTCCGAATAGTTCCGGATATCTGAAGAATTCCTATGAACCGCTTAGAGAAAAAAACCTTCTGATATCATAAAAAATAAAAAACATTTTTTAATAAGAATTAAAAACGAAAATTTAAGCCAAATCAAGAGGAGCAGGAAGGAAACAAAGGCCAACTATCCACAAAATTTCCAGTTCGGACGGTGATATTTTAAAATACTATGTAAAGTGACAATTTTATTTAGATACCTCCGCCAGCCGGAAAAGATTACGGAGTAAATACACTGCTACAAACAAATCTGGTCGACTCCAAGGGACGTGTTCTTAAAGGAGTAAGTAATTAAGATTGAGTAGGATTGATAAGTCTCACGACTTTTTTTGATAATACTGTAATAGATAATACTGTACTATTTGAATGAAATATAGAGCCTACATTCGCCCCCCTTATACTTTTTCCTAACTACCTTTTTTTCTACTCACCCTACCTTATGTCGCTCACCCTATCTCCACCCCAACACCACATACGTCCGTCTCCCTCTAGCTCATGTCCCCTTCACACTACCTCCTATTTTCCCAACTTTCCTTCTGTTCTCCTCACACTACCTTAGGCCATATTCTCGAAAAATTTAATTTTCTACAGGTCAGTTCTGTTCCTATACTCGTTCCAGATGTACGTAACGCAAAATCAAGGTAGCCAAAAATTCTTGACAATAAATTTAATAATTTTATCCAGTCGTGCCTCTGCAAGCCGTGTAGAAAGTGAAGCAGAAAAGCCAGTACAAATAAAATTCAGTGGATAAACCGAGACTACTTTAATTAATTTTAATTATTTAATTTTAATTTATAAAAATATATAAATTTATACAAAATTAAATTAAGTATATAATCGCATTATCGATGTTTTTGGTGAAAATTTACTTGAAGGGTTACTTGGAACAAAATTTAGACTGATAGAAAATATTTAATAGAAAATTGCGTATATTGAGATGTCAGAAAATACAAATTCAATAGAAGGTATACTGTATTCTCTCTATTTGAAATTGTCTAAAATTCTATCATTTAAAGGCCCTTAGATTTGCTTCCCTCTTTATTTTATTCTGAAGGAAACATAAGGTAGCTAAATCGGGTATAATAATCTATATTTCACCTTAAGCTAATCCAAAAGGATATTTAGGCGGCTGGAAGCAAACTCAGCATCTTAAGTTGATCAGTGCTATTAATTATACCATGCGCGAGGTAGGGTGAAGGGAACATAAGGTAGAGTGAAAAGAACATAGGGTGGATGGTAGCTAATTCAAGGAAAATTCAAGGAAGAATGAAGGAATCCAGAATTAAATAGAGAGTATACAGTACTTACTTCAGTAAATATAAAAAGATTATTTTTATAATCAAGTAAGGAGGACATGAAGATTAGATTAAAATTTAATAAAGAAACGTTAATAATTATATTAGCTATTTTTAAGAATAAAAGGATAAGTTTGATAAAGAATTCTTCAAGTTTTACAAAGTTTAATAAATGTGAAAATAGCGCATAAAAATAATAGAGACAAAACTTTGACAGAGAAGGCAAACTTGAAAATTAAAAATAAACTTTAAAAAATAATAAACTTTAAAGATTAAGCTTAAAAAGGCAAGTTTGTAAAATTATTTAGGAATGTTTTTCTTTAAGTTTGCTTTTATATTTTCTTTCTCCCCTTCTTTTATATTTTAGTTACAACTTGTTGTTCTTCTCTCAGTAAAAGCAATCTTCGAATTTTTAATGAAGCTTGTTCTGCCTCTTGTCGGACACTTTTGTTGTAGTCACTGCGAGAGAGAAAATCAAGACAAGTTAGAGAATTTTCTGCCTGAAAATTTATAAAAAAAAATTTTTGGAAAATTTCTCTCCTGATTTCTTAAAATTAAACTGAAAACAAGAGGTCGGTAAAATTGCATTTGCAGGATCCTGTATCAGGATTGGGTTTTAAAATTTCAAACAGGGCAGGATCCTGCAGGATTTATCCTGAAAACCCTGAAATCCTACCAATCCTGTCATTTTTTTCAGGATCCTGTTCAGGATTTCGGGATTTTCAATAATAGTAGCCAGTAAAATTTTGAGAATTTTTGAAGGCCAAGTGAGAGAGTTAAATTAAATAAAAACTAATTAGTTTTGTAAGGCCTAATCCACAGATATCCAAATCCCTTATATCCATATTACATCACTTAATCCCTCGATATCAGCCCAAATCCCTTTATATTCACTTCGGCCCCTTGAAATTTCCCGACAACACTTAAGTACGCCTCTTACATTTTCAGCGCAGCAGGCAAACATTTTGGGATTTTTAGAAGGCCAAGGAGCCGGATCTCTTAATTTTTCTGGTCCGCAGGCGAAAATTTTGAAAATTTCGGAAGGAAATGCAATAATAAATTAGACAAAATGAAATCCTGAACCGTGAAAATTATTCAGGACGGATCCTGTATCAGGATTGGGTTTTAAAAGTTCAAACAGGACAGGATCCTGCAGGATTAATCCTGAAAATCCTGGAATCCTACAATCCTGAAAATTGAAAAAAAGACAGGATTTCGGACAGGATCCTGAAAAATCCTGTGCAGGATCCTGAAAAATCCTGTGCAGGATCCTGAAAAATCCTGCGCAGGATCCTGAAAAATCCTGCGCAGGATCCTGTCCTACATATGTCAATCTCTACTGAAAACAAAGGTGTGTTTTCTAAGAAAAAACTTTTTAATATGCAAAATAGGGAAGGATAAAAGGTCAGTTCTTTTTTATTTGAAATAATTGTGTTCTCTATCAAAATTTACATAGCGACACTTTTAAAATTATTAAATAAATAGGGTTATATATATACAAGTTGGTTTTGGCCATTCACGTGGATGTGGTGTGTCGGATACACACGCGGAGGCTCTGGCCAGCTTCAGACGAAACTAGCGAGTTTATGGCTATGCATGTGCTTGTATTGCTGATGCGATACAAGGTGGGGACGGCCCAGGAGGTCTGAAACGTCGGCTGCGCCGAATCTTTCTATGGAGGTGTGCGGGGCATTAAAATACGCACAGTGGAGGTGGATGGAATATCAGTTATAGTGGTTATTGTCTGTAATGCTGATTCAAAGCCGGTGATGCAGCCACATCCCCAATTTTTTTGAAAAAATTAAAAAAACTTTTTTGGTTTTTTAATCTTGTTGAATTTGGAAATAGGGAAAAATCAGTAGGAACTTGGTGTCCTAACAAATGATCGGTTGACTATATATTCTGAAGAAAAAGTCAATTTTAGACGGTATAAATAATTTCCAAATAAGAAAGAGTTAAGTACACCTGTATAAACGCTGAGGCCCAAGGGTAAAGACTATTGTTGTCTTTATAGCAAGTCTTTCCTTTGTTTGGAGGTTTGTGGGGAGGGAGTTAGTTAATCAATTGTAACAGTTATCGGTTGTGATGCACCACAAGGCCTGTGATGCAGCCACATCCCCAATTTTTTTCAAAAAAATTTAAACAAATTTACCCCAAGAATAGCCAAAGCACGGCAAGCCCCTCTCCTACTCGCATCATTTTCATGTTCCAATAAACACATGAAACATGCAGATAAATCGAGAGCTAATTCTGGCGATGCTTTGCGTAAATATTTTTCTTTAAATTGAAAATTTATTTTGGAATTTTCAAGAGTTTTTTACCTATAGGAGAATAAAGTTCTTGATGTTGTTCAGCCAAAACAAGGCCAATATGTCTTAAACTTTCTAGTGGGGGAACAACAGGAACATTCCTAAGACGTCCCATTACGTCTCTGATAGCGCTGGGTAAGCCTGATTGGAGGTTGGCAGTAATCCAGGCTAGAAATTTAAGAAAAAAATATTTTTAGTTAGCTTTAAATCTATGAATGTGGAAACCAGTGTTTGAGAAAGGATCTCTGATAATCTGCTGTGTTTTGGGTATTTGTTGGCTCCGGCACCGGCTCCGGGCCTTTCAAATTCTTAGCTCTGGTTCCGCCGAAGCCATACACAGCACTGCTGATAATCCTAAGTAAGGAGACTTCTACTATTTGAGAATCTCCTTAAAAGACTCATTTCATAGGCATCTATCTAATAGACCACATAAACTCTTGTCAAGAGTTAGGAAAATATATTGGAGATTGGATGCTGGAGTAGACTTTAATAAGTGTCAGTCGAGAGAACGCTCAGGGGTCTGTTTCAATTAGGATCACATCTGCGATGTGATGATATGATGATCATATGCATGTTCCAATTAGGATCATATCATCATATCGTCATAATCATATGCAGGAACGTCATATGACGGCTGCATATGATTTGTCCGTCATATGACGACGTCGTATCATCATATCGGGGATATGATTCGCATCGGGGATATGATTCTTCATCACATCGTATCATCACATCGCAGATGTGATGCTAATTGAAACAGGCCCCAGGGAAGGCCGTATGAAAATCGAGATTGATTTCTCAAATATACCTAAGTAGGTATTTAACTTCAGTAACTGAATTTTTTGTCCGAGATTTCGTTTCTAGGTCCGATATTTAATATTCATGATAATTTCATCCATACCTTCGTGAGAAAGATTTTCAATAAAAGCAGAGAATTGTTTTCCTCTAAAAAGTGAGACAAATTGAAATATAGTAACAGGTAATTGATGATTGTTTGATTGTTTTTTCCTGCCAGTTGGATTGTCAATAAGTAGAGAAAAAAGAGAATCCAAAACTGAAAATGTTTAAAATTGTTTTTAATTATTTAATTTTCAAATATTCAAGACTCAAATGTACTTAATTGACATATACTAAAAGTCAACAGTACTTGACATGAGTAGCGTAACTTAGTCTATGATCTCTACCTTCATGTCGTCTTTTTAGAACGTTATTAAAGTTAAAGCTTGAAGGTTAGGGTTGGGGTTTTCGAGTCGGGCTTTTTTTTAACTTTTTCGAGTTCGACTCATTTTTTTCGGGCCGGCCCGACCGAGTCTTTTTCGCGTCAAAATTCAAAGCTCGACTCGATCTTACGGACTGGGCCGGATCGGGCCCCCAACCCTATTGAAGGTAAGATTTAAGGTATAATTTTAGCAAAAACTCCGAAATTTTAATATAATTTCACTCAAAAAATCACCTTTTTCGATCAATTTTGGATAATGATTTCTAACAATAGGTTCACATATCGGTCTCAATTTATCCCTCAATATAGAAGCTGATGCAAGCAAAAATTCATTTTCAGTCTTGCAGGCAGAGAGCCAGCATTGTTGTAATTGGAATTGAAGGCCTAATTGGAGTAAAACATTCTGTGGATTTGGTTGGCATTGAGCTAAAATATCTTGTAGAAGGCCTAACATTGATTCTAATGCAATTGTTTCAACACCCTTAAAAATTTTAAATAAAAAAATTTTTTTGTTGAAATTTGAATAAGAAAAAGGCGAAAATTGGAATTGAAGTGTTTTAGAAGTTAAATCAAAGGGATTTTGGTGACAAAGCCTTTTTTCATAATTTTGATAAATTGCCATTTTCGTCTGAATTCTTGACTTTTACCAAAGATGTGCCGAAACTGATTTTAAAAAGCGGAAGAACCCTGGAATAACCCAATCACTGGAATAACCCAATCACTTCGGATTCTGGTTTCACTGAGTAGAGGAGCTGCCTAAGCAATACCCTTGATTTAAGTTCCTCTTTATTATAAATCTTCTCTTTTAATGAAAGGCCAAAATATTTCGTATCCCATTCACGATAGGTCGGGTCTTCCATGATGTTTAGTCCCTAGACTTGGTAAGGTTGTAATATGTATCCATTTTCCTAATCCGAAAAATTTTAGGGTAGTTAAATTTTTCCCTTACGACTGCGGAAAGTATCTCGTATCAAAAAATTATTTTTTTATTACCTCCATTCTGTAAAGCATTTTAGTCATTGTATATTCAAACGGACTTCCTTGTACTTGACATATAATCTTTATAAAAATAAATTTAATTTTCATTTAAAACCCCCAAAAAACCTCTAAAGGTTGCCTAGCTCCATCCAAATGAATAGCTAAACAAGCATCCATTTGAGCACTTCCTGTAGCTGTAATCATTACCCTTCTTTCACTCTTCTCTTTTGAATTTTTTAAATTCTCCCCATTTTCATTATCCAACATTGTGCTTCCTACAAGCGATTTTCTCCTCTCTTTTAACTTTAAATATTTTTTAAAATTATTTTTATAAAGCCAAAAGCTCACTAAAGGATACGAACAATAATATCTTCACCTCTATTTAAGAGACGTTTCTAAATTGAGGTTCCACTGGGTAGAGGAGCTGCTTAAGCAATACCCTTCTATTTGAGTTACTCTTTATTTTAAGTCGTCTCTTATAATAAAAGGTATCTAATATTATGGGAGTACCTCTATTTAAGAGACACCTCGATATAAAATATAATTTTTCAAGTGTGGCTTTATACTGAGGTCTGAATATATTTAAAAATGTTTATCTACCTGAGAGGATACAATACAATTTCCTTCATTATTTTGTTCCAATCTTCTGACAGAGCTGGCATAGGAATTATAGGGGGATTGATAGTGTCGAAGGGAGTCGATACCACTGTCATTTTCGGAACTTGAAAAAAATTTTTTTAACAATTTTTACTGTATTTTTATAATTTTTACCAGCCCGGTCTCTAATCATAACTAGTATTACAGATGTCAATGGTTATCCAAAATCCGATACTCGAAGTCCGCCAACCCGAACTATTTTCGATCCGACTTCGATACCCAATCCAAGAAATTTTCTAAACCCCGATCCAACCCCCTAATCGACTTTTTCTCTACCCATGATATGCTTGATTTGTGTATTACACACAAAAACTTTTCAAGAAAACCCTCCAAATTAATTTATTTACATATGATCCAAGACATGTTGTTGATGTCTTTGTTCATATTTAATAGTCGAAGTACCAGCAACACAACCATCATTATCTTCTGTATGGTCAGAAGCTGTAGAAGGGCTGTGTTGTTGTTGTTGACTATTATTATTACCCCTATTTTCATTTGAAAAAAGGGTTGTAGCCGAAGAATGGTTATTAATTAAATTTAAATTTCCAGTAGCTAAGCGATGTTTTTGTTTTTTTAATTGAATTGAATTTTGACGTTTTTTATTATTTTCTGTTTTTCCTGTAAAGCTGTCTAATTGACATAAAATTCCGGAACGGTTAAGTTTAAGGCAAGCTTCCCAATTGAGCATTGCTGCTTCAAAAGCGACTAGTTCGGTGAATTCTGATGGTCTGCAACAGAAGAATATTAATTTATTTTACAGTCAAAACTTCATTATAAGATAGGGCAAATATTAGATAATTTTTACAACAACTATTGGGCGGGGAAATAAGCCCATTATAAGACGTTTCCCTCATACTTCTAGGTGAGGGATAGTCTAACAATTTAATCTTATAGTCCTATACTAAGGTTTTTAAGAATTTTTTAAACATAAATCTTGTCAAATTTAAGCACCTCAATTTAGCCAGATAGACACGCAAACATTCAATCATTTCAAGCAAAGCATCTACTGTATGAAGTGCACTTTGAAACTCGCATATCTCTTTAGTGTAGGAAGAGGAAGTTGTTTGTGATGTTGGGGAATGAAGATCACGACTTTTTGGGCTAAAAAGAATCAAGAAAATATTGATAGAATTCAAGTAAAATATTAGGAATAATCTAGTAAAATGGTCTCGTCTTAAAGGAGAGGCTGTGGAGTGTCAGTGGGACTTCGGGACGAAATTTCGTAGGGAGGCCCTACTTTAGTTGTGAAATTTTCACCATTTCTGCTGCGTGGTACCAGGGTCCGAGTTATAAGTTATCGACCCCCCCCCCTGATTTGACTTTATTTCTCAACCGACCCCTCCTTGTTTTGAGAGCTAGTTTCATTGATGGACCACAAATAGTAAGTCATGGGTGGAAGAACAAGAGTACTGATTTTATAGGAAGGGTAGGACAAAATTATACTTAATTTTATGGAGAAAAAGATGCTCGTTTCCATTTTTTCAAAAATTTCTCCACTCTAAAAAAAATTTCAAAAAAACTTGCCTGCTTGTCCCCCCTCTACAAAGTCCTTCTTCCCTCTCATTTTCATCAAACTCATCAGGTTCTTCAGGTTCCTCAACCTCTAAACGATATTGACTTTTATTTCGATTCGAACTCTTCAACGAATTGCTGTTCTGTTCAATTTCCATTGATCTACTGGAAGGGATTTGTGCCAAACTAACAGATTTTCTCCAATCCGAAGCTGTTTGTCTGTCCAAAGAGGATTTATCGTGCCCTCCTCTTTTGACAAAAGAAAAAATTCTTTTAGCTCCGCTACGAGCCCCATGGCCATCAGATACGGAAGAGGAAGAACTTGGACCACAAAAATTATTTTTTGAGTGACCAAGACTGCCACCACATACACTTGAAGGTTTGGAGGAGTGAAGGGCGGAAAGCTGAAAATATTTTTTAAAATATTTAAGGGTAATGCTTCTTCTTTTAGCAGCTTTACCTAATTATTGGACAACCAGGGGTCGGTCGGAATCCCGATTTACGAAAATTTAAGCTGATTTCCGACCCAGACTTTTGAGCCATTTCCGATTCCGACAGTTCCGATTTCCGACACTTTCGTCACTTCCTACCGACCCCTGTGGACAACCAAATTATAGTAAAGAGTAGCCATCTTAAATTAAGGTGTTATAGTGTTGGGGTCATCTCTTAAGAGGACTGGGGTTAACTGTTAAAAAAGGATGTATCTATAATTCGAAGTATCTTAAATCGGGAGTATCGCTTAGGTAGCTTAACAAGCCATGGTCAACTCATAATGGGGGCATTTAAAAATAAGGTTCTAATGTTAACAAAATATGGAGACATAACGCCATCTCAAAAAAAAATCTAAAATTCTTTTATTTTTAAAGAAATATTCACATCATCAATAGTCGGAATAGACTTTGACAAGTCTTTATAAACTTCATCCAAAAGTGTAGTCGAAGAACACCTCCATTTGTCCTTTTCTGTTTTGCTCGATTCTCTACTAATTCCTCCACCTCCCCCATTCCCTAAAGCAGCCCCAACACTTGCACCAAGTTTTAAACGTTGTTCGCGTTGTCGTTTTTTGTCGCGAAGGCAAACTTTAGTAGCAGGTCCATTTTCTACTGTTCCATTCGTTGTAATGGATGAAGGGGAATGTTCAGAAGGTTGGTGGACATCTAAAAAGATTATTTTAAAGTTTTAATTAGAGACCGGACTGGGAGTGTCGTACGGTAATCAAGATCTCGAAAAATTCTCGATCACAATAACTGAGATTTTCGATCGAGATCTCGTCTCGGTCCTGTATCTAGTTTTAATGTTTTACAATTGTATTTCATTTTTAAAGAAATAAAACTAAAGTTTACAAGTTAGTAATTTACAAGCTTCAAGTTTGCAAATTAAAACTTTTAAGCGCTCTTTTAAACTCGAGTTTGTAAAATAATCGTTTACGCTTCCCTAAAATCTTAAATTTACAACGTTTTATTAGGTAAGGGATTCCCAAATAAACTCAATTTCAATTTTTTTCAAATCCTCAAGGATTCACAAGTTTAGCTTTTTTAATTATGTAATTTTTACCGTTTGATCTTTTAAGTTAATAATTTTTAAAATTTATTTTTTTACCATCTAACTTTCCACCATTAATTTGTTCAGTATTATTTGTTGAATTAGCTTGATTAATGTTGTTAGTACTATTATTGTTTTGCCATGCTGTTTTATTATTATTTCCAGCTTGGGAGGGAAAAGCTGAAGGAGAATTACTGCTAGTAGTTCTCCAAATACTAACACCATTTTGTTGTGTTTTTTGATTATTATTGTTTACGGATGGTAGGAGAACTTGGGATTGGTGTTGTCGAAGTTTACCGTTTATTGCAGAACGTTCTGGAGGCTCTGGTCTAAATAGAAAATTTTATTTACCTCTACTATAAACTCTAATATAGCTAACTCAAAAATTTATTCCTATATGAATTATTTTTTCTAGGGAATAAAATTAATGGGACTTGTGGCATATTTTACTGGCATTTCAAATAAGACCTAAAAAAATTTTTATACAACCCCTAAGGTAAGAAAAATAAGCAGCTTAACCCCTGCTTTTTCTTTCAAAAGTTTTGTGTGATCATTAGATATTTGTGGTCGGAAAGCTCGAATGCACTAACATATTCGGCTAATTTCACACTCTTGAATAAATCCCTACACCTCGGTTCAGAGATGGTTTTCCCAAATTATCCTAGGGATTACACAAAAGATAACTCTTCAGGTAAATTAATCAAGTAAATATGATAATTCTATTCAGTCTTTTACTATTTTCTTGGGAGGAATTTGGCCACTTTACTTTAGCCTTACTTAAAAAATTTTTTCAAATCCTCTCTACCTTTGTGCCAACGAATTTTGTTGGGATAAGGAAGCATGATTATTATTGTTGATATTAAATCCGTTTTCTTTAACTTGAAGTTGTTTTTGATTTAACATATTATTAAATTGTGAAGGCATATTGGAAGATAGTAGAGGCAGCCAGGTCACAACCAATCTCAATTTTAAACTTCCAGAACTATTTAAATTCATCGTGACCAATTGGGGCTGTGCTGCCGCAAACTTGGCAGGGTCAAATTGCCGTTCACTGAGACAGCGAGCTCGAAGGAAGCCAATTTCGAGTACCCGAACCTGTACGGGCACGTTCCACAAAACTTGTATGGAGGCTATTGGGGGCTGTAAGTCCCAACGTTGTGATCTGTCTGGCTGTGTTTTTCCGCGAGTTCGCCAGCGTTGGTGACCATGCCGAATGCAAACTTCAAAAACGTCTCCAGTGCAGATACGTGCAAAGCCGATTATTGCTATATTAAAAGTTAAATTTAGAAAATATAATCGGCATTTCCATTTGCATAATAGTAATTAATGAGACCATAATTTTTACTCCGGCTCTCTACATATTTTCTCCAAATAATATTTTGAAATATTTTCAAATGTATCCTATCCTAATGGAACTATATGTACAAATTTTATTTCATAAAAACGGAGTCGAAACATTCAATAATTCGATGCGCTAAGAAATACGGTTCCTAATATCCGGATTTCAAAAAATCAGTCTATCCGGAAATTATCGGTTAGGATATCGGATCTAGATAACTGAATGTTTCCCAGAATCCGTTCATCATAGTCTAGGATAGTGATTTCCTGTTAATATCTAAAAATTCGACAACAAGAAACAGGACCGTTCGATTTTTTGTTTCAAGAAAACCCAACAAAAATTTTCAAAAACACTCACCCTGAACATGAAACTGAAGCCTTCCCAGCATTCCACTCGCCTCAGCTTCAATCGCTCCCATTTCTGCCCTTATAGTTCTAACAGATTCTTTAGGAGGTTCTTCTTGTTCAATTTGTTTGTTGCTAGTCAAATCGAATAAACTTTGACTTTTTTGGGGTTTTCCAGTGAAAAATGGTTTGTCTATATTTAAAAATATTTTTTTAATTTTTTATTTTAAAAACTAAGAGTGTGAAGACTTCAAAACCTTTTTATTTTACAATTGCTCTATTGTATTAATTTTAAGTTTAGAAGGGGGAAAAAAACTTTTTTTTTGTTAAGAGTAAAAAATGTCGACGTATTTAACAATAATAAACGATGGGAATACTTTTTGGAAATAAACAAAATAAAATAAAAATTTTTTTAATTATACAAAAAAATTTAGAAAATAATACTAATATAGCAACAGAAAATTAATCGTTGGCTTTTCTCTTAATTTTGAAAATTTGGGAAAATTTGGGAAATGTTATTTACAGACGGGTGGGCATTATCGAACTAGGTACTTGCTAAAAAATCTATGCAATAGTCACAGGTTCCGAAAAACAATGAAAAGTTCATTTACAAATTTTATTTCGTCTTATTTAATACTAGAGTTGAGCGGGATCGGGATCAGGAAAATCGGGATTCAAAGGAAACCAGGATAATCCGTCCCGATCCCGCCCAACTCTACTCAATACTGTCAGACCTCAATTTAAGTATACCCTTAGGTAATAAGAGGTATCTTAATAGGGCTATAATCAGACGATTCATCAATTCACCAACCAACCCGCATCTCAAATTAAGCACTAATTTTGGAGCTATACTCTTTAAGATACCCCTTAAATCATCTTCCAACTGTTCCCCAAAAATATAATGTAGAGATCTCTAATTTTAAAAAATTTTTTTATAAAATATTATCTAGACAGCCTATTCCCTCTAATTATATTCTTCCAAACAACTCACCAAAATTTTCAAAATTATTTTTCCCACAAATTCCAATTTTGTGTATTTCACTAGTAGAGGAAGCAAATTGTTGTTTTGAATATAATTTTTGTCTTTGAGGGGATGGACATTTACAAAAACGTGAAAGGGAAAAAAGCTTGAATGTATTAGATAGGCGAGAGGAGGAATTTGTATTTAAATTGGTGTTGTTGTTAATAAATTCTGTTGATTTTGTTGGGACTAGAAAAAAAAATAATGGAATGTAAAGGAATTTAAACAATTTTAAAAGTTAAACGTGGAAAATTATATTTACATATTTTTTTGAATAAATTGATTATTTACTTTTATTTTTATTAAAATAATTTTAGGGAGAAAATCGGGGGGAGGGTATTTGTTCAAGAAAAGGGAAAACGAGTCTCGAGCTGAAAAGTATTTTTTTCTATATTTTGAGAATGGTTTATATGTCATAATTTCAATCATAGA